GTGCCGATGACAGAATTAAGAAAAAAAGGATTGGCAGGGACCTCAGTACTACATGATTCTTGTGCAATCCCTGAGGGAGGGATTCCTGCTGGCTTGCAAGGACCTCCAGTGGTGGAGTATCATGCTCTCTGCCCAGACAGTTTATCACTGCCTTATCTGAATTCTCTTTGCTGCAATTTTAGCACCATCCAGAACACTATGAGAATGAGTTAGTCCCTTTTTCCTTCATAACAGCCTTGCTGTGTCAGAAACCTTATGATTTCCTGCTGTTTCTTCTTTATACGAACTGGGGGTTGTTTTATCTCACTCTTTCCTCACTGATCACACCTGGCAGACTGGAGGCTGTTTTAGCTTCATGTTTCCTTACTGAACACATCTGGTAGACTGAGGTTCACATCTGGAAAGCAAGTCTCACTCTTGCTTGTGGTCTTCTAGGCCGTGGGAGAACCACCTCTGTTCCTGTCTGCCTCGGTGTTTTATGCCATTAAAGATGCCATCTACGCAGCGAGGAAGGACTCTGGCCTGACTGAGCCATTCAGGCTGGACAGCCCTGCCACCCCGGAGAGGATCCGCAATGCTTGCGTGGACATCTTCACCAAAATGGTAACACCCTCTGGTTCCATAGTCTGCTCCCTAGCCAGCCTACCCCACGTGGAGTGTGTATGGTAGTCACAGTGGCCCAAGGCTGGGATTAGGACAGGATGGGGAGACTGTGTCCCTGCTTAAGCAGATGGTTTTTATTTCATGGTTGTTATCCTTCATTTAACATGCCGCCAACTGAGAGGCAAATCCACAGACCAGCATTGCTGGTCTCCCATTGTGGGAAGGGCTGCTGCACACTGTCGCTGGAGTTGCAGTCCATCCCTCCATCCTCCAAGTGTTGTCTGTAGAAAGCACTGACTGCTTGTCCTGATGCTCCTGACTATCATCTCTCTCCGCTGACATAGGGCCACTCTGTGACCTAGGGGTGTCTTTCAGGGAGGAAGGGAGAGGAAAGTGTTACTGAAAATACATCCTTCTCCTGAATGTCATGGCCATAGGAGTCCCTCTAGGGGCTGTGAGCTTGATCTGAAGGAGTTCACAAGTTGATCCTGCCACTGTCTCTTCACGGGCTCCTCAGTCACAGTGTTGTCACAGGTCTCTGCAGGAGTTGACCATTAGGCCCTCAGCTAGAGCCAGGCACAGCCTCTGACAGAAGTGCCATGAGACAGACATCTCCATGTTTTGAAAGACTTGGACAGGAGCTCATATCTTCACCAGCACGAAGTCACCCATCTCAAAAGGAACATGCCAAACCCTGGCCAGGATCCTCATTTGTTACCAACTCAATTATTTTTCTCTCTTTACAGTGCCCTTCTGCTGAGCCAGGGACCTTTAAGCCATGGTCTGTGCGTGTGTAAAAGGAAAGTCTAGGGAGCAAACTCTGCTGAAACTGAGCTTACACCAGAGGAACCACAAGGCAGAAGGACTATAATGGAGAAAAAAATACCTGTGTTCATGTGGCTCACCCAGGGATTCATGGAGCTTTCACATTTAATTGTCCAATCACTGTTTTCTCTAAGAGAAGGAATTGCTGCCAGATTATAGCTGCAATGTAAATTCAAATGAAGATGAAGTGGAAGGTGATGTTATCCATCTGTAATTGAAAAATCTTACAGGTTTCATATAAAATTGCTGCAATGATGTTTATTACCAGCCAGTGTGAAATGGCAGGGTGGTTGTTTCTTTTTTTTCCTACTATGGGGAAAGATGGACCACTTAGTTATGCTATGCCAAGAAGGATTTAAATGTGTTGAGCCCAGACATACAGTCCTCTCACTGAAATGGGGGAAGGCCTAAGAGGCACTGAGGGCTGGACCCTACTTTATCCCCTCTGCACAAAAAGCCAGCTATCTGCTAGAGGAAGATGAAGAGGACTTTTGATGTTAGTTAACAGAGGTGGTCTTACCTGTGTAACAAAAGTGTTTCAGAGGAAAACGCTAAAATGTGACCAATAACTAATTAATCCCAAATTAAATGACTATTGTTTTGTCTGCACCAGTGCTTTAATGAGATCTTAGTTCAACTGCTACCTTGTCTTCTCTGATTAAAGATAAAAACTAGATATACCAAGAGGACTTCCATCAAGATGCTGCTTTGTTTGACACATCCTTTTCCTGTCCCACACCTCCATATCTTTCCCCATATTTTAAATAGGAAAGGACATCAGCTACCTTGGAGTAACAGAGAAAGTTGCTCATCACTGTTCCCAAGGAAATTTGTACCAGCCTAAGCAAGGGACACAAGGAGGATGGACACAGCTGGGGATTAGCTGACTCTGGGTGCCCTCTAGGGTCAATCCCTTGCTGTCATGCTATGGCCTTGCCTTCTTTTCAAGAGAACTCTTAGTTTTGCTGAATGTAAGAGAATGGGTACCTTTTGCTACAGGGACTGCTTGTCTGAAAAATGTGCTGACTATGGGATGACCCAGTGTCGTCTGGGTTGAATATATTTTTTGTGTTGGATTTAGTGCTGGGCATCCCTCTTGGCAGGTTTTGTCACTGTCAGATTTAACACTGTAGCATCGTGTTATCCCTAGATGATGTCAGCCATGTACTTGTAACTGCTCATCATTTGCAAACTTTTATGTTTCTCTGGCCCACAGCTTTATGAAAATGTCCTTTTTCTATTTTTGCACTCCTAGGGCCACCAAAAAAATATGGTGCAAGAGGATGTAACTCCATTGCCTTCTATAAAATTTTGCTTACATGCAAACTACTTAAAATTGGCCTCTATCTTAGGACTGGATGAAGTCCTAAGTGTGAAATATTTTTTTTTTAAGCACTCCAGGGTATATCACTTGGAAATGTGTAGATTTATTTCTCAGCTTAAAATACTATGGTTCTACCATCTAGAAGAAGGGAATTTGTATATGCGAGTTGCAGAAAGTATTTTGTGCCAGTTGGGCTTGCTATGTAATTGTTTTATTAATTGAAATACAATATTGGTGTTTCTTAAACTCTGAGGTACTGGGCAAGAACATGTTTTTGTTTTCTCCTGAAATTTGGCAATATGAAAAAAACTCTTCGAGAAGAAAATATGATAATTTGTCTTCAATAAGGCTGTTGGAGCCTGTGTATCCACATTCTTGGATGTCCATGAAGGAATACAAAATATGAAGTCTGTAAGGTAGATTGGTATCAGCACTGTTCCTGGGACATCCACCTCATGGGATCGCTGGACATGCTCATTCAGACCAGGCTGATGATAAATATGAAGGGAAGGTAACATGTGTTAAATGCAGAGCATGGGCAGACACAGGCAGAGTGTGATATCGAGGAGCTTCAAGTGTCACCTCAGGGGAAAGCTGCCAGTGTTCACGAGAGGCCCGCTGCCTTTGGGGGCCCTGGGACATGTCAGGATGTCACTAGCAGGATAAGTGCTCTTTGTCCCCTGTGGTTCTGGAAGCACCTTTTTCACATTTTCAAAAAGAGTTTGTGGTGTCTCACATAGTCACAGTGGCTGCCTGGTCAGGTAAAATTTTTTTAGATTAGATGTATCTCTTTTGCTATTTGCTTTGTGAGTTAATTGCAATTGTATTTGCCAAGTTCTGCATACAGGCAGTGGTCAGAGCAGGCTGCTCGGTGCAGATCTTGGACTGTAGAGCCGTTTTTCCTGCTGCATCAGTGAGCCACTCTTTCCCAGGCACCAGTCCTTGCCCTCAAGCTCACCCCAGTTCAGAGCCCTTTTGTTACCCTTGCCCAGCAACAATCTGATGGAGGGAGGAAACTCCTTCCTTTTGGGGTACACTGGAGTTGAATGTAATTTATATCAAACACCTGGGGAGGGCAATGGTATGAAATCAGGGTTGCAAAGTAATTACAGAAATTGGTTTTGAGGGTTTAGGGAAAAGGGAAACTTGGATGCTAATGGGAATTTACAGAGAGATCATTGTAGCACCTGGCTGTGCTGTGGCTGAGACAGGGACTCTAAGGAACACGAAGCTGAGATTTTCATGTCACCTCTAAATGTCTTAACATTTCATACATTGCCTTCCTCTGGAACTTAGGAAAGGACTGGGATGTGCTGTAGAGGCCTGGCAGGAAGAGAAGGTACTGCTATAGGATCCCCAAATAAGGGTGTGCTCTGCACTACAAAGCTGTCGGAGAGCAGCTCTTCTGCCATGAGCGCACGGCCCTGTCCTCTGCCAGGTGCTGTGTCACATCTCTTCACACACGTCTCGCTGCGTGGGATTTCAGCTCATAGTAGCTGAAGGGAAAGCTACTTACAAAGAAAAAAATGTTCCTCTTCTAGTATTTTCCAGTGAAATACAGCATGGATGCAAGACTCTAATTTAATTACATATAATTGGAAATTTGCTGCTTCTCTCCTTCCCAGAACTGTGTACTCAGAAGAGGAACTGTGCCATCTTGCTAGACTGTAAAGTACTGCGCAGAGTAGCGGCACTTAACTTGTAATTGTTGTAGCTGGAGATTTTGTGGGAGGATGAAAGGAGGCCTGCTGATCTGATGTCTTAGTGCTATTAATTGTGAGTCCCTCAGTGTGAGAGGGAGGGCAAGTTTTTGGTAACTGTTTTAGGTCAGTTCTAATCAACAGTTTTCACTATCATTCTTTAACGAGCATTGTCAAATTGGTGTCCTTGTTACATGAATGTATGAGGAATTCTCTGTGAATGTCACAACAGTGCAAAATAAAGCTGCTAAATATTCTGAAGTCCAGTATGCTATGGTAAAAGTCTGCCATGTTTTGAAAACTGGACAACTTCAGCTCATCCTTGGTGTTTGGCAAACATGGAGCCTTCCTAGAGGCTGTGAGTCAGATCAGCTCAGTGACCAAGGCTGGGAGAAGGCGGGTGGTTGCTCCAGGCTGCTCGGCCAGACGAAACAGATGAGCCAGCTGGAGAGCCTGGGCCTCCATCCGGCCACGCTGGCAGCCAAGTCCGAACGAAAGCAGAGTCAGTCCTCATGCTTCTCTGCCAGCAGGAGCTTACAGTAGCCCCATTGTGTTTTCCACAGCAGCACAGTGATGCATCCTGATGCTTCTAGCCACCTGCACAGGGCCCAGCAGCTGCTGAGACAACTTGGAAGGTGGTTTTTCTGCATGGTGTGGCTGGTACCTGGTCCAGACTGAACTATCCTTGTCTCAGTGTCGGCCTTGGCCCATTTGAATCTGCCCTGTAACAGGGGGAGCCAAACTCAAAACTTGTGAATGGAGCAAGCATCATGTGCCATCCCCAAGGCCCTCTTGAGCCTAAACACATAGGAGATGTGAGATTGTAAAGCAGGAACAGTTCACACAGAACAGATAAGACTAAATGATGGGCCAGGCCTGACATTCTGTGAGCATGAAAAGATTGGGAACATCATCAGTGGTTCTCCAGGAGGGTGTACCACCCTGTGTCCTATCTCACCTACTTAAGCAGAGTAGGGAGAAGGAGACTCCAGGTGACGTGCTCCTTTGGGAGCACTTCTTGTATCTGCATGGGGAGATTTATCACAAAGAAGCCATTGCCAAACCTCTTGGCCCAATAGGGAGCCCAGAATACAAAATGTCAGTGCAGGGAGAGCATGTGTGATGCTGCTGTGGTTTGCAGCAGGTCCGACCCACTCTAACCCAAGATGTTAGGTTTGCTGAGAGCTGCTCCACTGTTCAGTTCATGCAGTTTTCCAAGCCTAGTGCCACAAGTTTCCCTAGTGCCTGCTCTTGTCATGTTTAAATACAATTCAATCACATGAAGAGCCTTGATATCTCGTCCCTGGCAGTGGTCTGTCTCAGCTCTCTGACGTACCTTTTGGAGCTGTGACATGGACAATTACACTGCAGGCAGCTGCGAAGCAAAGGCCTGGCAGTATCTTGAAGTGCTTCCTTTTGGATTAATGCTCTCTGAAACAGTCCCTCCAGATGGGCTATTTCTACCACGTCTCTGGAGTGCTGAAGGGGTCTGACAGAAAACTGCTAGAAAATGGGAAAGCAGAAAGGTCCCAGCGGTAGAAGTGAGACAGTTTCTTTTTCTGTTGGGCAGACAGCTCACTGAACATCTGCTCTGATAACCACCTGTAGGTCCACAGCACTTGGGTGTCGGTGAACTTGGGGAGGAAGCTGTCCACAGGCAGCCCAGCCCGCCGTAGCAGGTGGCCCAGCTCTTGCTCGTGGAAGCCAAACATCACCACATAGTCGTACTGGACGAGACAGGGCAGGCAGAGGCTGACGAGTGGTTTCCAAGCCACACTGGTGTTGTGTGTTCCACTGGCTAAAACATCCTCAACAAAGCTGCTGAAGGATGGGCTGATGCCCATGCCTTGCAGGAATGCGGCAATCAGCCTGTGGAAAGGGTCCCTGACAAACAGCACTTTGATGTAAGACCCTAACATGGCCTCTATCTCTGTCTGGTTGAACCTGCTCAGCTGTGTCTCCTTAGTGTGACGCCAGTGGTAGGGAAGCGACACTGGGAGAGTCACATTTTTCTTCTCTAGCTTCTCCAAAAGCTGCTGCCATTCCTCAATTCCCATTGATGGCACTTGGCAGTAGAGGAAGTCCAGCTTGGTGCTTACCCTCAGACTTGAGAGCAGGTAAGCTCTCTCCTGCTGGCTCCTCGGCAGCGTGGTGACTTTGCGTGATCGGCTGCAGAAAGCTCTCAGTCTCTTCTTCCTGAGCTGCTGAACGTGAAGGAAGGTGTCCAGTGTCAAAGTGAAGCCCTCCTCCGCCTTGGGGGCCAGGTAACCTGGGAAACACCATGTGAAGTTGGGGATGAGGAAAGCCCATAGTGGACCTCTGCCCTGAGTCAGCCCCCCCCCACCCCAGGATGCTGTGGCACTATTTTTTCCAGTTATTCCACTGTGGAAAAGATGTATCATAAGTAAAGAAGATGGGTAGGAGAGGGGAGACCAGCCCTGCCTGGCAAAGAGCTTGGCTCTGCTGGGACGTGGGTTTCTGTCTCCATGAACATGTGAAATTATGGACACCCAGACCCCACTTTCCCCAAATCGCCGTGTCTGAGGACTAATCTTGACCATAACTTGGTGTCAAGGGCCCATTCTCCACTAAATCATAATTTTTCATTCTATGTCCTTGCTTTCAAATGATCATAACTGAGGTGAGTTTACCAAAGAGATAGAAGCATTCTGAGAGACTGACAAATACACGATGTCCTGCAAACTCTTCTGTGTCTGTTAATATGTTAACATCAGCTACCAAATATATGTGAAAGCAAGGGATGATTCTTAATGGCTTGGGGTGATTTAGGGATTCAAATGATGTAACTTCTTGCATCACTTCCATATGTAAATTTTTCTCTTGCAGATAAAAAGGCAAAAGCAAACAAAAAGCAAAAGGCAAATAGAAATGAGACAACAACAAAGTAAATATAGAAGGCAAATGCAAATACAAAGACTTCATGAGAGTCAGTTTAATTTCTCAGATTTCAGCTTTGTTCTTTCCTTTCATCTCCTTATTTTTGATGTGAAGAGGCCATAGTGGGTTAGAATGCGGAAGATTAATGCCTGCCTTGTTACTTTATTTTTTCAGCAGCAGCACATCTGCCTCATCTGCTCAGTGCAGGCATTTGGCAGCCCCGGGGAGACAGTTAGTTTGGTGGTTTCTCCTGGGTCCTTGGGAAGTTAAATATTTCCCACTGATTTGGGGAGGCTGTTGTACAGGGAAGAGGAGCACAGTTAAAATTAGGCAAAGGACACCAGGAACATAGGAAGAAATGCGGCTGGTGCCTGCAGCTAACCTGGGCTGCTCTTTGAGTCGTCCAGCCCCAGAATGACAATGTCTGCAAAATCTAGTAATGACTTTGCCCTGGAATGATGGGGACTGAAGAGGAGGGATGCATTTTTTAGGCATGAAATGCAAGAGTCACCAAAGTCCCTGCTCCTGCTCCTTCCTGCCCTTCCCAGCAAAGGTTTTGGTAGTTATCTCCAGCAGCCTGATACCTGTTTTCCCCATCACACCTGAGATCAGTGACCCCACTGAGGACATAAAGCTGCAGGGCTCCACAGTAAGCGCTTTCCCCACAAACACTGTGCAAACAGTGTTTTATGTCCTGTAGGCATTTGCCCGCCAAGAACCTCCAAAAGAAGCTCCAGGTTATTTCCCCCATGGCACAGAAATGCTTCCAGGCATGCAGAACCCACACAGTGCCCAGGCCTTACCTCCTTGGCCGTTAGCCGGGGTCCAAAGCAGCCTCCAGCTCAGGAAAGCAGCAATGCTCAGGGCAGCTGAGATGACAAGGCGGGGAAGGAAACGCATTTCTGGGGTGCTGTGGTAGCGCTGGGTGTTGAACACAGTGCTAGTGAGCAGCTGGGGACCTGAAAGAAGGGTGTCGGGGAACCTCCTGTGTTTGTTTAAACACACCCAGAGCTGGGTTAAAGTACTGTTTGGCAGCAGCTTGGCTGGGGGCAGGGAAATGGCGTGAGGCACAAAAGGTACCTCCTGCCCTATGTTTACAGCATGAGCTTTTGAGGCAAAATCTGTCTTTTTATTCAATGTTCGTGCCACCCTCAGCACTTGGCTATGCCAGATGACAGTGATCCCTGTGAGAAACAAGCCCTGCATCCCCACTCCTGTGCAGGGTCCTGCAGAGCCAGGTGGGGCAAGATGTCCCGAGTCCCCTGATCCACCTTGTTCTCTGCTGGCTTTGGCACTCAGTGAGGTAATACTCAGAGGAATGCTGCTGTGGGGAGCAGCGTGTCCTGGGACTGGGGCTGAGCAAGCGTTGGGCCATGGGTCCTGTCTCTGTGGTGCTGGGGGGGAATTTTAAGGTAGAAACTGTGATGGTAAGTGTTGTGACAGGGCACATCCAGTGACATGTGGCAGGTCCATGACTAAACAGGGACATGAAATACTGAACTGCTGCCTGTGTCCTTTTTACTGGGGGCTGCTTAATATTTATGACTGCTGCTTGTTTTGTGAGAGCAGCTGTAAACACCAGGCAGTGCGGAGGCCCTGTTATACCAAAAAGGGTATAACATGCGGGCAGGCAGACAGACATGCTGCTCTCCCCCTTCTCCAAGGAGCTGCAGCCTGACCGGGTGTGTTTGTGTGTGTGTGAGAACCATGGAGACGAAGGCAAAGGGGACTGCAGCAGCCAGGGGAGTGTGACCTGCTCCCACACAGACCCACACTTAACACAGCTACAAAGGCTTCAAAACTGATTGTTTACAAATTGCCTTTTCATGGCGAGATGCTTTGGACCTGCTGCCAGCAGCATCCCTCGGGCAGTCAGGCCATGGGCTGGCGCGTGGCAGGGATGAGGTCGGGCCGCCAGACCCTGCAGCTGCAGGGAACTGTAGGGACTGAAGAAAATGGGATCACCGCCTCAAAGCTCGAGGAGAGCAAGCTGGCACACTGGGCACGCCGACCAGGGCAGGGTAGTGAGCCAGGCAGTGCTCAGCGGGCATGGGCACAAGGGCTGTGTTGCACGGGGGGTCTGCCAGTGAAGCAACCCCGTGCGATGGAAACCCACCGCCCAGGAGGACTTGATGGAGTGCAGTCTTGTGCCACGGGTGGCTTTGCTCTCGTTTGGACAACCCCGGCTTTCCCACCAGAGGGTGCTCTGTGCCCGAGGAACCCCTGCACACCTCTGATGGCGGCGATTGAGTTGGGCTCTCTCTCTCAATGCTTCCTCACTACGGGTGGAGAATGAACTTCACAGCTTTACACTTGTGTCTCCAAAAGCCTCCTGGGTCTCCTTCGAGCCTTGGGAAAGCTGCTGGACCTCTGGAAGAGGCTGTGAAATGCTTTTCATGGTCGAACTGCTCCTTGCCCCTCATATGTTGCATATCTTTAGTAAAGCCTTGTTACTGATTAGCACAATATTCCCATGAGCAAACTAGATCAATACACTTAGATATAACTATTAAAAAAAAGAGAAAATTTCAGTTGTATTGGAACACTCCTGGCACATGCCCGTTCAGCATCACCAGTTGTGTGCCCATCCCGCATCAATCACGTGCCGATTACGTGCAGATCATACATTGATCATGTGCTGGTCAGGTGCCAGTCACACACTGATCATATGGCAATCACGTGCCCAGCACATGCCAGGCACTCACATGGCAATCCCACAGCTGGCACGTGGAATGAGATGACTTGATGTCCCAGCTGACAGTTGCAGACGTCTCCATATTTTATAAACCAGATAACAGCTACTACTTAACTCACAGATGCACTGACATCTTTTTACAGTGAGTAGGATGTATTCCCTGTCAGGGGATCCCTGTGCTGGGAGGTCAGGTCTTGTGGCGAGATCCTACTGCATGTGTCCCTGCAACCTGCTCCCCACCAAATCCAGAACAAACTAAGTACAGCCAGAGGTTGGGATGTACGGGGGCAGGAGTGAATGGCCACACTCTGCTTCCCCTCCCAGCAGAAGACACACATTTTTCTTTGAGCTGCAGTGCTAATCTTGCTCCTCCCAGCTTGATGGATCTTTGGGCAGGAGGGTGCTTGAGAAAGGGATAAATATTACCTGAAAGTAAGTGGCTTTTGTGTTACTGTAGTGCTAACAAACACAGACCATGAGAGTTGCATGATTATCAGGAAATATCTGCAGAGCAGGGCTCTGTACAAGGCAGCACACCCTGCTCTTTCCCCAGCTCAGGTTAGCAGGTATGGAAAGCACAGAACCATTTTAGATTGGAAAAGACCTCTAAGATCATCAAGTTCAACAGTTACTGAGTCCAGCTGAGAGGTGCTGTGCACCTTCCCTGCTCTGGGTGATCAAACTGATCCTCAGCAGCTCCCAAAGCTGCTCTTGGGCGGCAGCATCTGTGGCCTGGCCACAAACCTGAACAGCAGAGCCCTGTTCGGGCTGCAGCAGGAGCCCATCCAGCTGCCAGCAGACCCAGCTCCAGTGCAAGGAGGCCCTTTTTCTCAATGGTCTGCAGTGAGGTTAACAAATAAAAGGGTGGAAGGAGTTCTGCAAGTTCTCTTGGTTAAGCAGGTGGCAGCAGCATGCGCCTTCCTGCACCGAAATACAGCATTTCAGCAGGGACTGTCCCAGCCGCAGCCACGGCGAGCCAAAGTGCAGCTGCAGTGGGTAGGGAGAAATGCAGTTCATTTTTATTTTGCAGTCATAAGGTGAAAGCAGAGACACAGTGTCTATCTGAGGGGCAGAAAAAATAGTGGAAACCCCCCTTTGCTTTGCATTGCAAAGAAACGTCTCGTACCAAGTTACACCAGTATGGGTCTCTTCAGGGGAGGACACAGTGTCTGCTGTGCCTTCGTGACCTGCAAACAGGAGGAAATTGCCCCTTAGCTGCCAGGGGCTGGTTGTGGGGAGCAGCTGCTCTGCCACGGCTGCTTCAGCTGATGGGCTGCCATGGGGCTTGTGTCCCAAACACAGATTTTCCACAGCATAACTGGTTAAACTCATTAACTGGAGGTTGAACTCCCTCTTCGTGGCAGGCAGTGCCAGGCACCAGTGATGCCCTGTGGGGCCTCCAAACACCTCTCAGAGGCCTGCATTAATCCCATGTGATAGTCTCCACCTTCTTCCTAATTGACAGCAACACTAATGGGCCAGGAAGTGCAAGGGCCTTGAGCAGCTGGCATTGCCCTGTGGATGAGGAGCCACCTCCCAAATACGCCTGAGAGTGCTGCATTTAAAAGGCAGTGATTTATTTTTTTATTTTTATTTTGTTCCCAGGGATTTCTTTCTCTCTCTCTCTCTCTTTTTTTTTTTTTTTTTTTTTTTTTTTTTTTTTTTATTGGTGCTGAAATATTTTCTCAAGTGTCTGTAGACACTTATTTGAACCCAGTACTGGGCTTTCCCTTGCCTTCCACTGACCACTTGGAAGCAGTCAGCAAGACTGAGACTGCAATTCTTGAACTGAAAGGCTTCTTGCTCTATGCTATAGGGAGGCAGCAGCCTTTTTGGGCACAGAGACTGAGCCAGGTGTGGAAATGAATTCACATCCTAATGTTTAATGCAATTATACAAAGGAATTAAATTAGGGAATTCATTTGAAACTTCACCTTATTTAGAAAAACCCTCAGTGCCATCAAAGTGAGAAAAAGCTATTCTCTTTTTCTTTACAGCAGCAGTAGGATTGCCTCAATAAGGATTTCCAGATTTTTCCCCATCAATAGCTCAAACAGCATTGCTTTGGGGTCCCTTTTTTTCCTCATAGGACACAAACCCTTTGGAGATATTCTTATATGTTAATAAACATCCTCCTCTTCAGCCTTCCCACATTCCTTCCACTTCCAAATTTTGCAAAGTATTGTCTTGTGTGACCATGACCCGCGGGTACTGGTGTGATGGTCCCCCCCTTGTTCCTTGTTCCTCCTCATGCCTGCCTGTGCTTGTGGGAATGTGAACTTTGCAAATTGATGGCAAACACTGCCTCATTTGGCGAGGGATGTTTTTACACTGCGAGTAAAGGAAGAGCAGAGAGGAAACCTTCTTATCCCTCTTCTTGTTTGGAAATTTGCAATTGACGTCTACGTTTTGCGTGCAAATTTGGGCCCGTGTCTCGGCAGAGGCACAGGAGCACTTGGAAGAGGAACAAGCTGCCCTGCTCCCAGAGCGTCCCTTAACGTGGAAAGTCTCTTGTCTTTGAGAATGATGGTCCTGAGAGGCCTGCCGGGCTGGGGATGCATTGCACCAAGTGGAGTGGTATTCCTTGAAATCAAACCTAAGAGTTGAGGGTGGGAATGCATATTTGTGGATAAAATGGGGGTGGTGCAAGTGGCTTCTTCTCCGTCAACATCTCCTGATTCCCTGAGCTAATCTCTGTGTGCTTGTGCAAAACCTTGGCTGCCCAGCTTGCTTTGACATTGTGGCAACACCCCATTGCCCACCCACGGGACCTCCTTAGTCTCAGGGGCTGCTTGGGACAAGGTTTAGCACTTCAGTGCATGAACTGGAGCATGTTTGTAAACATCAGCTCCTTCACCCTTCTGGTCATTTCAGAGATTTGGCCAATAGTGCCCATTCTCAGCTGCTTTCTGGTGGGGAAGATTTAGGACTTTCTTCTGTTTGGCTCCTGCCAAATGTGGGCAGCTGTGGGTGAGTTAATTTGCCCAGCACCCTGAGCTCCTCTCCATCTCTTCCAGTGTTTGTGTTCAGAGCTGCCAGTGTTAGCAGTGGGTTAGGAAGGTGGACATTTGTCCTTCTGCACCAGAGAGCACCAGACTGGCTTTGGGCAGGCAGGGAGAAGCCAGAGGCCGCAGAGACTGCCCCATGCAGCAGCATCCCAGGACTGGCCAGTCCTGGACCAGAAATAGTTATGCAATGGGGAACGGAAAGAAAAGCAAGTTCACATTGCACCCAAAGAGTGAAGCAGGTAGGACAATGTTTGGAGTGGTTGTACAACTCTGGCACTTCCTGTTTTCCCGCGGGCAGGAGCTGTGATTGTCACTTCTTATTCAGCTCCTCATCCTGGGAGGAAGACAGTATCAGGCTGTCCGGGGGCAGCAGGATGTTTATGTGGTAGGCTGAGTCAAGGTGCTGCTTTTAATACACCCCGGAGCAGAGTCATTGGGGGAAACGTACATTTTAGATATTTTTTTTAATTTTCTTTTTTTTTTTTTTTTAAAAAGGCTCATGA